ATAATAATAATAATAATTACAAAAGAAATCATAATAAAAAACCCAAGTAAGGCCAGATTCTCTCTCTTTATATATAAATATATATATAAACAATGGGAAGGGGAAGGGGGAGCACACAGAAGACACCAATGATGCATCTGAAACAACAAATGAGAGTGAAGCAGACATTTATAAAAAAGATGAAAAGGAAAATATTTTGAACATGCACCTCGATTTTACGGCCCTCTACCACGGTGCCGTGTAATTTCTCCCTCGCCCTGTCCGCATCAGCACTATTTTCGAAAGTTACGAAACCAAATCCCTGCATGCAGGAGGGAGAAGGGGGGAAAACAACATGCACATTATTATTTCAGTCAATGACCACTTGTTTGCTTATGTTCTCTCTCTTTAATTTAATATTTTCTTGTCCTCGCTTCATTTCTGTAACATGCAAATTAGAGAAATTATAATTGTATTGAGATGTGCAATAAATAAGCGACAAATGTGAACAAATTTTTTTTTTCTGTCATCAGTTAGATAATACCCTCTGAGAAAGTCAAAGAATGATACCAAAAATACCTTTCTACATGTCACTACAGAGGAAAATAAATCTAACAATAAGAAAATGAAATTAAAATAAATTACAGTGTCTCCACATAGAAAAAAATGAACTAATGAGAAAAGAAAATGAACCACATTTTAATGACATGCAGATATCTCAACGAAATAAAAAACATGTGCACAAAATTCAACACTGAATGTCAATATACTCTAAACATTGCCTACTTAATCATGCTGTTGTGATCATAAGAAACATTGTTCCCATGCAACACTAGGGTAACTTAAACTTTTGTCAAACTATACAGCCTTTACTTATTTTTTTATAAAAGAAAAAAAAAAAGAGAAAAGAAAACCACCAACCAAACAAAAGTACTTTTAGAACAAAGTATAAACTTTCTTGTATTAATAGAGCAAAGAAAATCACATGATGTGAATAGAAAAAGAAATTCTGATAAAGGAAGAAAAATGCAAACGTTTTAAATAAGTTTAACTGCTTCATTTACTAGTTCTGCATATTACTTTCCACATATAAACATGCAACTGGTAAAAACCCCAGAATCCCATGATAATGGGACAGCAGAACATCTGACAAATCTAAAATTCTGCTTATGACAAATTCTCTCCTTTATAATATTAAGCTAAAACAAACACTCCCAGTCCTACTAAAATTCCTTTTATGTGCTAAGTTAAATCAAACACTGTTTAAAATGGCAAATATTTTGGAAAAAAAAAATCAGATATCCAAGAACATTTTAGAAATATACACCAACCCTTTGAAGTAATTCTAGTAATTCTTGCATTAGCACTACAATGCCTTTCTTTGCATGCCTCCCCCAAAGTTATCCAAACAAATACACTTCTGCATCCTCGATACTTCACAAGCAGAACTGCCCATCTGCTGTCCCCTCACTAAGTTTTGTGATCAGTGTTCACCCACTTTCTTCAGTACTACCTGTTATACACAGTGATTGATTTAAAAAAAGAAAAGGTACAAAAGAAAAAGGAAGACATTTATACATTTATTCACACATTTTATACAAAGAGTTGACCAAATATAAGGTAAAACTGACACCAAGCAGTGAGAAAAACAATGGGTATGAACAAAACTAATTAATCAACAATCAACCAAAAAAAGTTAAATAACTATGAGGATCATTATCTTTGTTATTTGGATTTGAGTTATTTTATCTACTCCAAGAACTCATTTATTTATGCCCATTTATAATACAAACAGTGACATTTATGTCCAGCAGCAGTTTCTGTTTCACTCTCTTCAAAGTAGCTTAAACATATTGTTCTCTTTTTTTTTTTCCCCTTATAAGCCCAGCCTGAAGCCCCAGCTCAGCTCTGCTCTGTCAGCAGCTCCACTCCCAGCTGAAGTCACTCTCAGAACACCTGATTCCACACATTTTCTCCACACTACCCTCCTCAATTTTAGCACAAGGCCATGACCTCGCTTGTCACAAGACACTGAAGATGTAACTCTCTTTGCCCAAAGCACCAGGAGCATTGAGAGAAAGTAAATCCCCCTCCTCAGCACTAATCTCCACGGTTTAGATGCCAGTACAGGCTTTTCTTGTACATAAACCCATTCTCAACTTGAAACTTTTATTTCTTCTACAACTGCCTCCTTCTATCTCATTAAAGCTCTATTAAAAAAAAAAAACAAGCCCTAATTTAAAATGCCATTAAGAAAATTTCACAGCAGAAAACACCACTGGATCCATGGATCCAAGGAGCCTAACTCTATGTATAGCACACATTCCCCCAATTCTCCTTGTTCTCCCCTTTCTCTTGGCTGAGCAATTGTATCTTCTCAGAATTGCAAAAATTCGGTGAGAGTTGTTTAGTTAAAATTTTCCATCAGTCTCCTTAGCTCACAACAGCACTACCTGCTACAGCTAAAGATAAAAACCTAATTATACTAAAAAATAAGAAAAACATACAAAGTGGAGTAACAAGCCAAGATAAGACAGAAACTTCAAAGACTCTGAAAATAATACTCATTGTAATTTTTTAATTCCTTACGTTGTACTTATTCTCATAATCAACACTATTTAAATTAAGCTGCTATTTATGCAAATCTTTAACCTTACCTAGCTGACAGAGAAACTCAAGAACAGAACGCAGATTCACTCATCACACATCCAAACACCTACATGAACACTTTAACATCAATTTTAAATGCTGCTGAGTTAACAGCTGCTTTATCATAGTGTACCATGTATTTTATTATCAACTGGTAATGTAAATAAATACATTTTATTTTTCAAGCCTGTCAAGTGATTTAATAATAGCCAATCTAGTAAGTGAGAAGGTTCTGATTTAATTTGGGAGGTGCTTCGGAGTTCTTATTTGAAGAAATATGTATTAATACATTCTAGATGTATACTAATATATGCACAGATTTCTGAACGTGTATATGTAGCTGTCTAGAGCATTAATTTATAACTCATAGAAAACACTCAAAAGTTTAAAAGTCATCAGTGTTGCCATATAATTTTAGTAAAGTTATCTTCATTATTATTATTATGCACCCAAACAGAAATTTGTACTACAAAACCTGCATTATTTTAGGATTTTCTTTTATGGAAGGACTCCCTTCTGCAAAATCATTTTATACTTTATGATTGTGTTCTAATGTCATGGTTTTTTTTGAACATGTAATTCCATTTTTCTTAGCTATTATGGCATGAGAATGAACCCACTTCTGTTGTTTTTGCAAGAATCTTTTAAGACATTAACTATTAGAATAAAAAGAAAGAAAAACAAACAGAAACAAAAACATATTCTAGCAATTCTTATGCCAAACTGCAGCTAGAAACAGTTTTGAATTCTGATCCTGCAAACTTTGTTACCTGTACTCAGTTTGAAACCACTTAGTAGTCCTTTCAGTTTCAGTGGGATTTTATGAAAACATAGATAAGCACTGCCAGGAATGGGAGTTTAATCTGGTGCATCTTAATTCCTACAGAATGGACACGAAATGATCAGATTAAAATAAATAAATAAAAAAAAAATAGAACCAAAAAAAAGATGTCCCTCTTAATCCTAATATTTTTTTTCTATCTAGTTGAGAGAATCTAAGGGTACTTCTGCAAATTAAAATACTGTGTAAAATAACCCTAAGCAAGATGAGAAGGAGCAGACAGGAGCCATGAGATGCATCACAGAACTGCTTTGGGCATCTCGAGCAGCTCACTCGGAGACAGCTGGGATGCACCACTGCAGCACTGAGAGTGCAAGGATATTTAATAGGAGATCTTGACATTACAAGCCCACCTGGGAAAACCTCTTCCTTCTGAAATCCTGTCTAGGATTTTGGGTTTAGCACAAGGCAACAGGATGTTTTCAGTATGGCAACGTCACCATTATTAAAAAAAAAAAAAAAAAAAACAAAAAACAACCCAATTCAGAAACACCACCTCATCCCACTCCCCATATAATTTTAAAAAGCCTCACACTTATGCACAGTCCACTGCAGATGTGGTGGTTAAAAGCCCCTGTGTAAGACTGAATGGCTAAACAAAAGGGTAAAGCACCACCCCATGAAATGGGTGCTCAGCTCCACTTCAACACAACCCAGCCAAGGTGACCAGTGTGGGATAGCTTTGGGAATTTATAGTACTATCCAACAGGAGAATGTTCTGGACAATCTACATCATTTTCAAATGCTACTGAACAGCCATAATTTAACAATAATTAATTTTGGCCAGAGTAGAAGATTCTAAGCCACAAAATTCCATCCAGTTTAGTTGTTCACTGATAAAGCTGATGAATTTTCCAACTGGGTTTGGGCTAGAAAGGGGACTAATTAATGTCTGAATAATAAACCACCAAATTTCAGCTCTTCTATTCAGGTAGACAAAAAAAAGTGAAGTCTTTAAGTTCAGAGCATAAATATTAACAAAAATAAAATATATCTGATTTAAGACAAATTTATGATCTAGAGGATTCTTAAAAAAAATGACAGATTACAGTATGTTTAGAACAGCAATAGAATTCCATCGTTAATAATAAATGATATATGAGTTACAGGAAGACAAACATTAGTGAATAAACTTCCCAGTGTGTCTGACATGGCAAGAAAAGGAAAAAAATATATGCATATGACATACACATAAACCCCTCTAATGCAGCTGATATCACAGGTGAACATAGTGGGCTGCAGTTTTGCACCAGGTAATGATGCCAGTGTAGTCACAGCCTATCTTGCTTTATTTCTTAAATACTGAATAAATTGAAGTATGCACTTAAGGCAAAGTAATTTTCAGGAAAAAAAAATGCTTGCAATACAATAAGAAGTCTCTTAATGAAATAAATGTTAAAATAGATTGTTTTCAAAGGGTTGGTGTACTAAGGCTTTAACTAAAGAGGAAAACATCTGCACTTAGATAATCTGGAACAATCACATATTAGGTATCATTATCACCTTTCATTTCAATAAATGAAAAAAACACCTGTACTAATACAAACCTGCCTACAAATATCTTTAAGTATGGACTCATCTTATAAAATAAACGAGATAATTACCCTTGAAGAATAAGGACAGCAGAAATCAACATTCCCATAAAACAGATGACAGTTTGGAGTAGCTAAAATTACCCACTTTAAAAGATATGAGTCCAATCATTTTCATACTGCTTAGAAAACTGACTGACAGCTCAGATGATGTTTTCACTAACATAAAATTTCAGACATTACTTTTCAACAGCAGTGCAGTTGTTTCCTTTTACTGATACAAGTATTTTAAACAAATTTAAAAAAATTCCACAGGTGAATTAAACTGCTTACCTTTGAGCCTCGCTCATTAAAAATAATTTCAACATCTAAGATTTTACCAAATTGCTGCAAAGAAATAGAAAAGTTACAAGAAAATTAGATAACTTCAACACTTCCACCTACATATAGTGCAAAAAATCCAAAGATTTTTTGCTGCTTTCCAGAACAAGCAAAGGAATTTTGTTACTCACATTTTACCAGAATAAGGTTAAACCAGTTGGGAAATGAGGATTTCTTTCCACCCTTGCTGAAAAGGGTAACTGTTACTCCCTAAGAAGTTCTTGTTATAATGGAGTATAATTTGGAAAACTGGATTAGACACTTACTTTTTGGGGGATTTTTCCCTGCTCAGAACTGCACATTTATTATAATATTTATTATAATATTAGTAGCAACTCTTATCCCTATTGACCTTACAATAGCACTCAGTTCTCCAGGCATTGTTCACGCACACAAAACCTGATCTCACCTGCCATCCCAAAGAAAAAGTCCCTATTGGATTTGTCTTAGGAAGGGAATAAATGTTGGACTTGGGTAGTGTTTAGTTGGAACACTTTCTGTGAGGACACATTTTGTCAAGTGCCACCGTAATGTTTCAGTGGGTCACTGCTGTTATTTCATATGTCATTAACATGCAGTGTGGATCAGTGTTAACACTGGTAGATGCCCTGATATATTAAACAAAAAGGCAGAAATTGGAGGCAGGCAAATGAAGAATAATCCAGCAGGAGTCCCAGGAACTGCAGAAGTGAGCCTGTAGTTCAAACTTTTAAGATATAATTAACAATTACAGGCCAGAAATTACAGCATTGCTTCTCTAGCTTATTAAAGAGTTTCAACTTGATTATGAAAAAAAATCAACCATCACTTGTTATCCCTTGGCTTATTTCATGTTCTTGCATTCACCATTTAATTAATGTTTTAACTGCCACTTCAGCCTAGAAGCAGTCATTGACTTCATGTTTAAAGAATCCTCCTCTGCTGTGTTTGTGTCCACATCCAAGGTCAGCTGCTGTGTGTGTAACGGGGTCACGATGCTGTGCTACCGTATCTCACATCTGATATTTCAACTCACACTTGCAGCAATTGCTTTTTTCTACCAATTCAGAAAAAAAAAGTTTACTGTTACCAAGTCATTCTGAAAGTCAGCTGGAAAACTCCAGCCATTCTCCAGTGTTAGTCTTTTGAGACCTGAGACTTAAAAACTGAAAGGAAATGCAGTTTTTATTCATTTATAAATTACTGCAATACTTAAAAAAAATCCTTTAATTTAATGTACCTTCAAATGAAATCTATTTTAAGCGGTTTGTTTAGTTTAAATAAATTTGCGTATTTTTCCCCAGAGGGTTAATTATTATGCCTTCTGCTATTTTGCTGATGAGCTGTAAGCTGCATTCAGGGGAGAGAACCTGTAGCAAGTCAGATCCAGCACAACAGCCATTTATTTCCTAATACTCTATCAGGATTCTTTTTCCAGTGACTGTTTACTTCAGAGAAATAAATATTGAGAAACCAACGTCTTAATTCACATACAAATACACTAGAAGAAGTTAAAAATCTGAACTGAACATCAAAGATGGAGAGAAGTTCAGAGCCACAAAGTGCTTGATGCTGCACTGAATAACCAGCTGTAATGCAGAATAGAAAGCAGTTTTACTGATCAGAAACAAGAAAGCCAGAGTAACATAAATGCTTAAGAGTACCAACTTGAAAAAGGAAAAAGTGGGTTCTAATAGATGAGATCAAGTGCTAGATTACATTTAGTGACATTTCAAAATAAATCTAAGACATCTTGGAACAGAGAGAAGAAACGCAGTCCAGACTCTCGTGGTTATGAGCCTAAAACTGATGGCACATTTGAGATGTGTGAAACACAGGGAATGTGCTTGAAGGCAGCCAATGGCCTGGGGGAAAATAAAAATTGAGAGACTTATTGAAAAATACCAGCAAAAACTTTAGGAATCTACAGAAACCTGTGGGAGTGGGTGAGGATTCCCATTCCTGAACTTTGGTCTTAAATTCAGTCCATGTCCTCCTACAGATTTGAGTTCCTCAGTCACGAGGTCAAAACCTGACTATTTTACATCAAAACTAATAAATGCAGGCATGTAAATCTAGATGTGCACAGCAGGAATATATGTGCATTTAATATTTTAAGCCAACATAGGTAGAGTTTGGTGAATGTAACACAAAACATCCAACTGCATCACACACAGTAGAATTGGTAGAACTCCTTGGATGTTTGGTCGTAAACAGATGAAAAGAAAATCTTTACTGAAAATGGTTAAACAGCCTAAATCAGAGATACAGCTCTCACAGCTGCCTAAAATACCCATTGCAATGTAAATACAAAAAGGAACAAATAAGTGATGAGCACTTACACCAAACATTTGTCTAAGATCTGGATCCCGGAATCTGAATGGTATATTTGAGACGTGAAGCCGTTTTGGCTGTGATTTGTTTTCTGTGTTTTCAGAAGATTGTGTCTGTTGCTGGCCATCGGTCTGTGCTGCATCATCTGTCTGCTAAAAAGGTAAAGCAAAATAAAGCACACTGTAAGTATTTCCGTCATTTTTTAATGCAAGGTGGAGGTTTAAATTCACCAAAAAAAAATAATTACTGAAAAGCAGTTAAATCTACTCAAAGATACTAATGAATACCAGAAGTTTAAATACATGAAAATCAAACCCATTTCTGTATCTGTCTCAACAGCACATGTGATAAACATGTATTTGGAATAAACTGGAGAGTAACAAGCAGATTATTATTTGTAGATTTTCTGAGCTATTTTTAAATAATGAACAAACGTATCTCCCTATATTATAAGACTGTTGAATCCCTTTAACCTCAATCCCTGTTTGCCAATGGAAGGAACTGAATCTCCATGTCCAAATATATCTTACTAGCAGCAAGAAGCAAGCCAGACACTTTCAAATCAGATTAGTACTTTCATTCAGAGGCCACTGGGACTTCTACACAGGAGGCAGGTAACACATCACATCTACTTGCCATTTCATAAGCAGTGCTGATGGGCACTAGAGGGTCATTTTGTCTGGATAAATGGTGAGCATTATGGAAAGGGCCTTGAGTTGTGAGAGGGAACAGAAGTTTAATCAGTGGTGAAGGTTGCCTGACAGAAAAGTGAGACCCAGAAACAAAGTTGTACAGATTTTCTTCCCCACTAAAATGAGATTATGTCATGGTTCTTCTAACAGGGACACTGTTCCCTGGTTTTAAAATGCTTCAATTTAATAATTGAAGGACATTGCTGTGTATTACAATTTAGGGAAAAAAATTATAAGCCTCCAGAGAGATTAGGGAAAAACATAATGTCCTTCATCCAAAAAGTAAAACTAACCAGTGCTGGTCTATCAGTATGTTACAGGAATTTCTCATCTGTGTTCCTCAATTACTTCCTACAGTGTCTAATTAATTACTGCATGTACAGCCAATCAGTGGAAAAAGATTTTGCATTGGCAGAGGGGATGTGGAAGAATAGAAGGAGAAAGAAAATAGTTGAATGAAACTATCAGGATGATCTTACAACTGCTACTCTATTTTCTCTGTCCTTCCTCTTCCTTCTGACCCCATTCTTTTTCCAAGCATTCACTTGTCTCGTGTTTAATGTTACAGTTCAGTTTGTCTTTCTGAGTTTTTTCACTAAAAAAAAGATAAAAAGAAGAAATGGCCCATTTCCTGCTAGTATGAAATTTCTTTTAAGAGACAACAGTTGAAGCAACATAAAAATGGTTAAATAAAATAAACCTTACCACACAGTTTTAGTACCAACAAACCTGTTGAAGAGGAAGCAAAAGAACTCAAACAGAATACATCATTTATATCAGCAATAACTACATAAAAAGAGAATTCTAGCAAGTTCAGTTCAATAACATCTTACCCAGGAAGTAGAAATGTTCTCAAATTAAAAGTACAAATATCTACATTGCTTAGAATACTTCACAAATACAGGGCCTTATTTCTGCAGCAGCATCAGTCCATCAGCAGCATCCACATTTCATGGCATATGATGAGACTCACACACAAATACAAAGTTTCATGTGCACTGAAGAAGGATTTTCAAATGATCCAAACAAATAACTGGGATCAAGTGTAAACCTAAAACTGAGCTACTCCCTGAACTCACAGGGAGGGTCCCACAAACTGAAATCATTTATCTTTACAAATTTTTAGTGATTTAAATACTAAACATAGTACATAGCTGTTAAGAGATGAAAG